TCTTCGGCTCATGTGTCTGAGTTGTTGCAAGCTGGTATTTGGTCCGGGGGCGAAGACCTACCCAACGCTTACCGCTACGTCCCTATGAAGCCGACACATAGCAACATGGCCGTGGTGGCTTACTACGACCACCACGTTGGTGGCCCCCGTTTTCGGCAATACTACGGTTCCCTGTTCGGGTTACCAAATGCTGTGCGTTCGTTCAATCGATTTCCCCGATTCTTTCAAGCTGCCTGCCGCCGCCTGGCCTACTGTATGACCAGTATGTACTTTGATGACTTGACAATCCAGGACTTTGGTATCATGGGCGGCACTGGCCAGGCCTTCGTCAATGAACTCGCACGATGCCTTGGATCACCCTTCCAAGCAGAGAAACATCAGTCCTTGGCGGCCCAGTCTGATTTTCTGGGGTTGATCCACGACGTGGCAGCCTGCCACCAGGGTGCTCCTGTCAAGTTCTGGGTCCGTGACCGACTGCTCACCAAGGTCACCGACATCATGGAGGAGGCCACTCAGACGCGTCGCCTCCCTCCGGGACTGGCTGCCAAGCTTTTTGGCTGCCTGGGATTCTTGACGACGGGATGCTTCGGCAAGCTCGGCCGGTCGGGCCTCCACAGCATCAAGGAAAGACAATACTCCTCGCAAGTCGTGATGACACCGGAGATTGAACAGTCCTTTGATCGAATTCGAGCGCTACTTCAGCTGAAACCTGAGAGAGAATTACCGCTCAATCCAGTACGGCAACACCGGTACTTGGCGGCATCCGATGCAGCGCAAGAGAGGCCCCGCGAGGGTTCTGCGGGAGTCTTGTTCATTGACCCCCGTGGCAGTCGAAGGGCCTATGTCGTCCACATCACCCCAAAGATCTTCACGGTGTGGTCCCATCATGAGGCCAAGATTGCACAGCTTGAGCTCTTGACAGTCTACATGGGCCTGGCATATAACGCCTCATCAGTTCGCGGGATGCATGGTATATGGTTTGTTGACAACATAGCTGCCCTCATGGCTCTCATACGAGGCCGCAGCAACAACGATGAGCTGGATTCTATGGCTGGGGCCATCCATGGCCTTCTGTTTGCACTCCGTAGTGCATGCTATTTTGAATGGGTCCAGAGTAAGGACAACTGGTCAGATGGCATCAGCAGACAGGGAGAACACGACCCGTGGTTCCAACAACATGATTTTCGTCTCTTCCACACCTACCCCCTGCTCATGCTCCTCCAGCTGCCCTACCACCTCATCGCTCAGGTCTTTCAGTTCATTTGAGTGCTTTGGAGACGTTAGTGCCTTGGATGGAGTGCTCCCACAGGGAGAGTGTCAGATGTCAGATGACACAAGCGACGTGGGTCGCATTTCAAACCAAAGCACTTCAGTACAGACAGTACAGACCTGAATCGATTCGCAGAAAAGGGTAGCAGCAGTCGACATATGTTGAGCGAGATTCATCGAATATATATACATATATATGTTTCCTGCAAAAGTTGAGGATGGACAGATGATGGACATGGCCCACTTGGTTGATTTCAAAAGCAAAGCAGACATGGAATTTCCCTGACTTACGCGTCAATTTTTTTGTTGGCGCTACAGTTGTTTCAGGATCGAATACATGACACAACCCACCAGAAGATGCTTAGATGTGAAATGAGCAGCATTACTGTATATTACAATATAAAAATTGTCTACCTGCACATATTATATGATCTATTTTTGGGTCTCTTTTGAGAAACACTTCGCCGTGTTGGCCCGGGCAGAAGCTTCCAGAGCAAATAGAACTGATGAGTCCACAAACAATACACTTTTCTTACCAAGTAATTGGAGTGAAGGTGGTGTTTCAACAGAGACTGGAGTGGGGAGTTCATCGATGGAACCTGGCTGGCGAGACCTCAACTTGGACAACTCCCCCAACATTGTGTTATGCAGGTCTTTTTCAACATTTACTGTATAATTTTGAAGATAATCTTCCCCAACATCCGGAACAGAACGGGACAGAACTGTGTTTGTCCATCACAACTCCTTCGTGAAGCCTTTTACCGTACCATAGGTTCTCCCCGGTGGCTCAATTACGTGTGAACCTTCAAACATGTCTGCGAGCGAGCCAGGGCTGACTACTACTACACCAACTGTGTGTCCATGGACGGAAGCTTGGTCTCAAAGGCCTGGTTGCATAGAGTGATGTGATACATCTCCATGTACCTGGGCTGCTGGAATCAGAGGAACCTTGCATTTCACTGGCGGCTCATTGCATTTCACTGACGTGTTTTGTTTTTGTTCTTGGCCCAGTCAGGAAAATCTGTCAAATGCCGTAAAGACCGTCCGTGACCTGGTTCTACTTCTCACCCGTGACGAGAGCCTTCTCTCGTCCGCTCGAGCCGCGGCAGTCGCATGGGCAGTCGTATGGCCGACTGCAGGCCATGCACCTGCCTGCGCAGTTGCATGGAAACTCCTTGCGCTTCATGTTCGGCATCGAGGCCGCTGTCGACGTCTCTGTCGACGTCTCCACGCGATCGCCCGGTTCCCGGGTTCCGCCGCAGTCCTCTCGGTGTAGTCGTCCAATTGAGAGGCTGATGCTTTTCATCGGTGTACGGTACTTGGGGGAAGCGGTCGTCCGGTCGTATTTCATCGAACACCATTTGGGGACAATCTGGAGGTCGTTTGTGATGGAGTGCAGGGCTGCAGTAAGGGCTGCAGGATTGCAGTGCCGAAAATCAGATGTCTCTGATCTGCAGGGGTTCCAGTGTTGAACACGAGACTTGATGAGCCCAATTGCTTTGAAGTCCGGGATGACCCGGCGTCGCTCGATGGGATCCCCGGATCCGGCACCAGAGAAAACTGAAGAGTTTTGGTCATGGCCATTTGGCAGTGAGGCACTGGGAGGATGGAGGGAAGCAAGACCTGGAGAGTTCCAAGTATCTTTATGTCTTTTGTGTAGTCTGGGGATTTCAGATGACTTCATGATATGACTTCTGACCAAGTCCACCTGGGAAACACCATGGACGCTTTTTTGGATCATGGCAAGTGCCCTCATCAGCAGGGAGCCCTGGAAAGGGCTCCTTCCCACCGAACACCGGGCCTTGTCGGGCTTCAGTCCTTTGCCCGTGCAAACGTGTGGGACATGTGGCCGGATATGTGTTTCTGATCTGAAGTGTTCCTGGATTCGGAATGAGTGACATGATTTCAAGTATAAGTAGACCTATCTATAAGTAATTCCCTGCTGAGTCCATCATTTCCGAGAAACCAGGCCTTTTGGTGTCGTTGTCGTCTTTGTTCCTCCACCTGCCTCGCCACAGGCTCCTCAAGAACCGGAGGCCTTTTGGACGATGCCCAGCTGAGAACGCCGGGCTTTCGCGGTAGAGGCGGTCGAGTGGTCCACGGAAGCTGTGGCTCTCGAACGCCGTGGCTCGGAAGCTGACGGACATAGAGTAGCTTCTTGTTACTAGTAGTAAGGCACTTGTTACTAGAAGCGATGCACTTGTTTCTAATAGCTTCTTGTTACTAGTAGTAAGGCCAGGAGCTACTATTAGTAGCGTCCGAATGCTCCGTTCGTAGCGGTGCCCTTTGTTACTAGTAGCTTCTGAAGATTGTATCTGGAGTCTCAAAGTACCTTGGAAAATGGGTACCAGCACCTGTTGTTTATAGGTACTTTGGAGGGTCCAGGTAGTGATATCAATATCGGATAGAATGACTGAAAGTTCACACTTGGTCGAATTTGTGCATCAACACGTTTTTGTGTTGCAAGATGAAACATCGGTCGCGTTTCAACCTCCAAGCTGAGAAGTAGCACTGGGCCAAAGAAGCCTTTTTGCACCAAACATGATGACGGGACAATTGCTGCGCTTCGAGTTTTTGTGTGGCTGGAGTTCACCTGTGGATCAAGGACAACGGATTGATCTGTGCAACCTTGTTCTTCAAAGTGACCCTTTTGGAGTCCCTCAGTGAGTGACCTGAAAAACAGGCCGGACCAGAAGGTCAATTGGAAGAACCAGGTAACCAGAAAAATTAACAATTTCTGTGTACTGTACTCTGTTATACTCTGTTTCTGGTTACATCCTCACCAAATGGGTATGGCTGCTCGTGAGAAATCCTGTGTGTCCTTTCGGGGAACATCATTGTTGAAAACATATAGTTCGAACTATATATATAATATAATATAATGTTCTTTGTTTGTGCACGCTCTTATGCTTGTGCACCGATGCCTACGAAGAACTCCCCTAGGACTTCTAGCAAGAAACTCCGGACGAAGCACCATATGTGGTCAGTTAAGCTGACTTTTGTTTTCACCGGCTGAGTCGGATATGTTTTGAATCTTTTTTCTCCTTAGTCCTTTGAGCCCGCGACAGTCGTGCGGAGGGATCTCCTCCTTCCGTTCGTGCTCCTTTGTTTGTGCGGGATCGGAGCCGAACACCACCGGGAACCCACCGCACGGAGCCGTTTTTGAGTGCCCAAACGAAAATGGAGACGGGATGATAGGTATATTAGATGACAATATGTATATATATATATATACTGACATCTGTATTTTCCAGGTATAGTTCCATGGAGTTGGGTGGGCACATGTTGCCGCTGGTGCCCTCCGTTCGTGACCGGCACAAAAAACTCCATGGAACTGCTGGCAGTGGAGGCCTGAAACCGGAAGTGGATGGTATGCCCCCTTGGATGACCATGAACTCCTCTACAAACAGTTGCTGCCATCCACTTCCATGATTCCAGGGAGTTCACTTGCTGATTTTTTTAACATGGCATGTTCGGTCCTCTTGGGGGATCCAGGAGTCTGGATGAACACTTCTCCGGGATGGCTCGCCGCTGCCAAGGGGGCACACTGGCCGTGAGTTTCACTGGCCCAGGAAGGGGGTGAGTTTTGCGGGAAGATTCAAAAGGACATAGCTTATCATCGGATTGGTTTAAGGGAAAATCTGAATACATCATATCCATGCATGCCAGCACCCCCCCCTGAGCTTATGACCCAACCTCCCACCGAACTGGACCGCCAGGGGCCCTGCGGACGATCCTCGGCATGACCGGTGTGAGCGGCACAATAAGCCGCTACAGCGCGCCATGAACCCTTTCAGCCGCCCACAAGCGGGATGGATAAAGACTGCGGGAAGAGGTTGGATCCCATCAATGAAGAGGTACAGTCTCCTGCGTAGATGTTCGAGAGCATGTCAAGAGAAGAGGACGTGTCCTGTAATTATATCTCCAGAAGCGCCAACTGACATGCCGTGTTCACCTGCTAGCTCGCGGGGGTTTGCTCTTATAGGGAAGCTTGTGCGTCGATTTGCTGCAAACACGGATTCGCCTCAGCCTCTTACCAAATTAGTTGAACACTTCTTCGGGCCTGCTTCGAACATCTTTGGCTTTAGGGTGTCCGTTGGCTTTGTTGTCAAGCTGCTTCATTGTGAAGCCGTGTCCCGGATAGCAGTCTTAATGAGTTTATGCAGGAATGTCGCAGTTTTCGGATCCTGACCAGGCTATACCCAAGCTATATCCAAGCAAACCAAGCCTTTAGCACGGACCTTCCGAAGCCAACCAAACCCCACCTACACCTCAAGCCATACCCAAGCAACCCATCCCAAACCCCACCTCTTCATCTTCCCAAGATGTTTGGCCGTTGCTTCGCTTCTCCAGGAGAAGATCCCGGCGCCTGGATCCAACAGTAATGTGGAACCCAAGGCGCGGACGTGTCCCACCGTCCCACCGTCCCGCCTCTCCAGCGGATGTTGCGTCGTTGGCACACGGGGAAAATTCCTCGTTGGTCGAACGTCGGTGGCTGAAAGCAGTTGTTTCGACTGAAAGCCGTTCGAGCGTGAGATGAGTCGAACGAATAAGAGTTCTGCCTCATACGGATCATTGACAAGCAATCACCTCAGGGCACAGTACTTCAAACGCAGAGACACATGGGAAATGACATGATACTAAATGATCATGTCAGGATATGTTAGGTGTTTATCCCTTCTGGGGATCCACATAATCTGGACCTCTGAGTAATAAAGGGCGGTTGCAAATCTTGAAATCTTGGTTTACCCATGTTTACCCTAAATAAAGTTCATCCCAGGTTCCAAGAAATAACTTCAATTAGAAATGAAACGATCCCTTACTAAAACATATGTTAACATGAAGAGGAATTAATAAAGAAGGTGTCCAAAGAATGAATCTGTTGACAAAGCAATGGAAGAAACTAAATACTAACTTAACAAGTGTGTTTTGTCAGTGAGCCAAATGGTTAACTTTCTGTTGGGGGTTATTAATCAGCGCGGAACTTTGCTAACTTTATTTCGGACTCCTTTATGAATCATAGGTCAACATTACCTTCTCAAAAGGTACTTGGACCCTCCATGTCACACATCACCTTGTCAGAGGGCAGCCTTGGTCTCATACAGTTTTGAAAGAGCCACGTTCCTGAGGCCGAGGCATCTAATTATATTACCAACATGTTCCAACACTGATGATTGGGTTTGCCTTGCGGTATCTCCACGAGGTGTCCCAGTGTGGTGTCGTTCGATTCGTGCACTACGCAGAAAGGCGCTACGTGGCGCCAGGTCTAGTCGAACGTTCCAGTAGTTCCAGCTGCATACATGTATCTATACAGTTGCAGGGGTTTACACAAAATATCGCAGGGGTGCAAAAGGTCACTGGCTGCACTCCAGAGAGGTCAGTTTAAAGAAGCCGGTGCAGTGAAACCATGTTGTTTTCATGTGGTTCCAGTGTTCTGACGGCCGGACACTTGATTCCAGAACACCACTGCACAAAAAAGTTGAGGAGGTGGGGACCTGGAAACATCCTAAGTTTAAATAAACCCTGCCTGTCCTGGGTGAAGGCTTTTGGATGCTTTTGGGGCAATACCGCAAGACCTTCACAATCATTTGATACGGGTAGGAGTCCCAATACATCAGCACATCAAAGGACGGTGTTCTCGACAAAATAAGCTGATCCCAGACACTCCTTGTATGCCATATATATGTATACATATGGGTTTCAGGGGTCCATGTATATAGGCATTTGTAGATATAATATATATATATATACATATATTCCAGTTCCATGGAATTTTGATTCTTGAGGGAGGTTCTTTCTGTTTTCTCGCAAAGACGACGCCAGTCCTTGGACAACAGTGGCCGACGCAAGCACTGCCGGGTGCTCTTGGGAGATCGCATTGTGACGCCCAGGCGGGCCACGCGGCGGATGGGTCAGATCAGGGGATGTCCCTTAGACAGATCCATTGAACTTATGGCCAATAGACTCATGGCGGTCAGGGATTCACCCACCTCGTTGTGAGACCTGCGAAGTGACCGACCGTCTCCTTTTGCAGGCTGCAGGCTGGAAGCGCTTGGGGCCCAAATTGGACTGGGCGATGGAGGTCCGCCTTTGATGAGTGCTGTTTGAGAGGTTCGGGATTCGGGGTATGGTGGTGTCATCGGTGTATAACCTCTTCTCGCCTCGGGCAGTTCCCCGAGACAGCCTTCCATGAAGACTCCCAAGCAGTTTGGCTAGACCGATGAATCTTCAAAAGTTGTGTATTCTATTGCAGCACCTCAGGCATCGAAGACATTCCATTAAACGAAAACTGATAGACATCCAACAATGCAGCCACTAGTGCAGCCACTTCCTTTGGAAACCCATGCACGGCCCAGGACCCCCCCCCGTGCCCGCCCTGAGGGACAGCTGGCATAGGAGACCGACCAGGAATGAGGAGACCGCGGTGAAGCGAATACTCAGAGCCTGCCAATGCGAAGCATCCAACTTTTCAGAGCCTCCAGATCCGGAGTGGCAAAGAGCGGAAGGGACTGGGCATTCAACCTGGTGCTAGCAGGATCCGAACGCCTGTGACAGCGATTTCGCGTTCCACATGATGACGCGTCGGTATCCAACCGAAGGCCAGGAAGGCAAAACCATCGAAACCCCGATGGCTGTGACTGTCGAAACCATGGCTGCGACTTTGGTTGTGAGAATGACAATTTTTCGAATGCAAGACAGTCACGGCCTTGACATCTACCAATTGCTCTTGATAGTGGCCCAATGAGCAGTTGAGAATGTTCTACCCTGGGAACTGTCCATCTGCGCTTGGGGGAAACCAATGCTTAAACAGCGCCGTGCTGGAAGCACGGAGGGACTCCCTCAGTGTGTTCTTGTGGGTCCTTTAACAGGAGACAGCTGCCCTGCATTGCCCTGCCATAGAGGCCCACTTGTTGACCACTACAAGAGTTGTGTGGCCACATTGAACTACTGTACGCCATTGCTGTATTTAATTGGAACTTGCTATTATATGGCCGCTACCCAGAGTGTCCTGAATGTATAGGGTGAACCGTGCACGCCGTCACAGTATCCTTTGGGACCACAGTCCACGTGATGTTTCTTTGTTCAGAGCAGGCTCTGACATTACACACCCCAAACGGGGGCAAAGATCGTAACGGTAGGAAGCAACGCACTCAGAGTTGCACCTTAGGTAGGAATGCTGGTACAACGCCAACGCTGTGTACGAAATTACCAGCAGAGGCCTTTTAAAAGCAGAGCTGAGAGCTGCTTCGATATTGTTGGACCGATTGGAAGAAATTCTGTTGACATGAGATCAGCTTTGCTGGGCCTCATCGACAGGCCAAAGATGCAGAAATTGCGGTGCCTGTGGCGTGGAACATTCCCCAAACGTGTAAACGATTGGAACCGCGAGTCCTGTTTGGGAAATGCCGCGATCTGCTGAGTGCTTTTGCACTCAGTTTCTTTGCGGCGGGTGCGAATCAGAGCTGAAGACGCTTGAAGAGTCAAGTGCTTAGGATATACACAGCCGGGCTCTTGTCCCACATCCGAAAAGAAGGGAGAGACAGACCCTTGTCGCACTCACCCCCAACACTATGATAAGAATGGATAAGATATCACAGAATGGTCCGGTTGTTTGGGGTGGGGGCGCCTGTCTATCTATATTATGTCCATTCTATTCTATTCTATCTATTCTATAGATTATATCTATTCTATCTATTCTATAGATTATATCTATTCTATCTATTAATTCTATTCATTATGTTCTATCTATCTATCTACCTATCTATCTACCTATCTATCTACCTATCTATCTACCTATCTATCTGCCTATCTATCTATCTATGTATCTACCTATCTATCTGTCTGTCTGTCTGTCTGTCTGTCTGTCTGTCTGTCTGTCTGTCTGTCTGTCTGTCTATCTATCTATCTATCTTATCTATCTGTCTATCTGTCTATCTGTCTGTCTGTCTGTCTATCTAACTATCTGTCTATCTTATCTATCTATCTATCTATCAATCTATCAATCTATCAATCTATCAATCTATCCATCTATCCATCTATCCATCTATCCATCTATCAATCTATCAATCTATCCTTCATGCACGGGGGGGAGATGTTTCGTGCATTCAACCCCAGAGGGCTCCAACCATATCCTCACAAGGTGTTCAGACCCCCCCTGGCACCCCAACCATCTTCGAAACACAGGTAGTTGGAGGCCCAAACGTTGTGCCATGAACTCAATCGATCGCACCCCGCCGTTCAATCTCCAAGAAGGAGATGTGCCGGGGAAGCCCGCCGGTCGGAGAAGGACACGCCCCACGGAGAGGGCAGAGCGACTGTTTTTTTTTCTGTGGGTTGGGAGTGACCAGGAGCGACCGGTGCAAGTAGATCCCGTTAGACCTAGGGAATGTGTTCACAATACATGCAAGGTGACCCAGCATCCTATGCTGTAAGTGTGGTCACTTCTATGCCTAAATGGCTTTTGTCAATGCTTTTGATATTATTTCCAAACAAATTAGCCATGATTGAAACAGTTCTTGTGGCGCCAGAAGATGCTGCCCACAATTCTTGACATTCAAGGCTTTGGGTGACCTCAAAGCACTTCTTAGGACAATTGTGTGACCTACTGATGATGAAATTTCTGACAGCAAGAGTAGATTGAACATTATGACTTGTGGCTGCTTCGAGAAAAGCACAAGATCTTAAGAGGTTTGAAGTACACATGTTCTCACCTGTTTTTGTTCAGTACTGCATCATTAAAGCCACACTGCAAAAGCCACATACACTGCATAATTGTGGGGTGTTTCCGCTCTTGGTACCGAACATGCGGTTTCCGAGTTTGTTACAGCACATGGTTGACAGTGTCCGATATATATATATATACATAATAACCTGAATATATATATATATACAATATACATACAATATTTATAATTGCCGCTCCCTTCAGAAATTATTGAAGGGTATAGGGTGACCCCTCCTAATAATTGTCTAAAAGTATGGAAATTATTTCTACAGAGAGGTCGGGTCCTGGCACCCCTGAATGTCAAATAGTTTCCTTAATATGAGGTGGTGGGTATGGCAAAATAAATTTCCATCAAACAGGTAGAAGGACGTCTAAATAAGTATGCCTAAGATAGGTCGAGGACCTGTAGATTATTTCTGATGATTAGGTCATTATACCTCAAAATAATTTCTGAAGAATAGGTTATTATACTTCAAAATAAATTATTGAGAATTGTTCATCAAGCCATATCAACCTGCTGTCATTTTGGCCGCTGCTATTTGCCAAAGTGGTTTCAGGGCTTGCAGGGCAAAATATTGTATATCAAGAGGTTTAGTCAAATAGTCGAATGTGGAATAGGGTGGTTGGGGTGGTCCCCCACCGCCAAAATAAATTAGTCGAATGCGCTGGCGCTGAGGAAGGTGGTGGTGAGGAGGGGTACCCCAGCCCCTAAATAACTTAATTAATACACTGTAGTGGTACTGAGAGTGGTGGTGGACAGCAGGGGGGGGATGGAGGGGTACCACACCCCCAAAATAATTTTGTGGAATGGGGTTGATGAAATATGTTATTCTTGTTTTTTTGTGGTGGTCAAGGGGTACCCCACCCCAAAAATAATTTAGCAATATAGGTCATATACGGTCAAAACTATGATCATACATGCTATTATGTGATTATATTTTCCTGACAGATTTGTTTTTGCTATGTTTAGCTAGTTTTTAGCTAGTTTAGCTAGTTTCTTGTAAGAGCTTTCCCCCCCTTTCTTGTAAGTGTGTTCCCGGCAGGGGGTATACCTTTCTTGTAAGCGCTTTCCCCCAAGGCTGGAAAATTATTTATTTCAGGGTCTGACACCTGCCAATATTAATTTTGGGGTGGTGGGGTGCACATACCTCAAAATAATTCTTAATTAATGGAGGGTATCCACCTCCCTCCCCACCCTCAAGACAGGGGCCATTATTTATAGTATTTGTTGATATGTTGCTTCTCGTTCCAGGTCCACCCATTGGCGTTTCCTCCTTTCGTTTCTGGAAGCGATTGAGCGGAGAAATGGCATCAGAACTGCATTTGAGTGGTTCACAGCCTGCCTGGGCAATAAAAGCAGATCTGATCTGGGAAATGAATTCTTTCCTTCTTACAACAGATTGCAATTGACAGGTTTGTTGCAAACAAGTTTTACAGATGCATTGTTTGAAGCAAGAGCAAACACAAACATACCAATCGCTGGAAGCCACACCGATTGTCATGATCTTTGTGCCAATCTGCATGCTATTGGAGATTCTAGCAGTCCAGCAAAATCGGAATTACTGTTCGCGTATCAAACCAATGCACCAGTGGCACCAATGCCCTTACGCTCTTTGCTCCACATACTTGGTTTCACTTGGCCGGCACAATCCATTAGTCGTCTTGACGAAAAAGACCGCGTGTGTGTGTGTGTGTGTGTGTGAGTGTGTGTGTGAGAGTATGTGATTTGTTGTGATTTGTTGTGTGTGGTTGTGTGTTTGTTTCTTTGATTCTTTGTTTGTTTTGTTTTGTTTTGTTTTGCTTGCTTGCTTGCTTGCTTGGTTGCTTGGTTGCTTGCTTGCTTGGTTGCTTGGTTGCTTGGTTGCTTGGTTGCTTGGTTGCTTG